CGCCGAAGTTGAACTAACGATACGTACAGAAAAGTGCTCATCGTATAGGACGTAAGACAAGTACCGTCCATATATAAACGTAACGACAGCAAAGATAAGATTAAATTATATTGGTTATCGCCGGATAATCGGTGTATATGTCAACTGACCTTCTCCCAATTGTTTCAAATAACCGATGTGATGTATCAATAATCCGATTTATTTTCAATGTTCTAATATACGGCCGATCCGTCCCGGTACATTTTGTTTCATTAACGCGATTGTATCAATTATCCGTGTTTTTAATAAGCGGCTTCCACTGTACCTATTTAAATGTTAAGTTATATAAGTTAATATAATATGGTATAAATATATATTATTTATTATTTTTGTTATAAAATATTATTATTATAATAAATGCAATATTTTTGGAAAATATTTTATTAACCTATTGTAATATTAAAAGTAAAATAAATGACTTAAATAGCTACATCAAAAAACACGTCACGAAATATTTTTAATGATAGGTATAGGCGTATGTATAGCCATATTGGCTGACATTCGTCTCCGCTCAGAATCGTTTTTCATATTTAATGATACATCATTAAATTCAAATTAACGTGCCTAAATTTTGACCCTACCTGTTTTTTTGTAAATTAAAATATAGTAAAATTATTATATGTTTAGAAATATAATATTTATTTATCTATCCTTATACATTTTATATAGTGGGGTAATAAATTAAAATATGTATTTAAAAATTTTAATTTGATATCTTAGTATCATAATTATATCTTTAATTATCATCAAAATAACATTCTTTATGTTTATATTTTAATATTTTATAAGGGCACAATAAGATTAAAATATTTAATTGTGCTAAAATGTAAAGAGTAATAATATATAGCAACATATAACTATGCTCATTGCTCACACTCAATATTATATTATGTTATTATGTCATAAATTAATAAATAATAAATTCCATAAAATAAAAACATCAATTTGAATTATATGTTTATTTTAAATGTGTACAGTACAGGTAGAGATACAACATTCATTAATCTAATAATAAATAAAAATAAAAATTATCTCGATAATTCAATTTTTTAAACTTAACTGTTTATTCTCATGCCTTATTGTAAGATAAATACTGGTAAGCACACCCTTAGTTGTACTTGATAAATATAAATAAAAATAAAAATTTGTTCTTAAATCACATTAACATCATACTTCAATCAATAATCTTACAAATGAATACCTGTACTGATAAATATTTTTGTAGAGAGATATATATTCTTATGTTAATATATTACTATATTAGATTGAATTAATATTTAAATTCTTAAAATAATTTTATTTATACTACAACATAATATATTCATACGACCACAACTGTAATAATTGATGTACTTGAATTAGTTATCATATCAAATAATTGTTTATTACAGTTAAAATTTAAAAAAAAAAAACCCACTAAGAAAAGCAATATGAAAATTTAAAATCTAATAAAAGAAAAGTTATCACAAATTATATAAAGTATTAAATTACTTAAAGGTATTTCATCAAATTATTCTGCAACTTGGTCTAGTAATTTTTTGATAATATATTTAAGTTTTTCAGCTAGTTTTTGAGCTGTATTATCTTGATTCAATTGCGGTACATGAATAAATATAGTTTGATTTTTATTAATACATAGAGACTTAAAATAAATGTACTCGCATAAAAACCTGTATAATACAAATAATATAAATGAAAATAAAGAAAAACTGTAAATGCTCTTTGTCCATAAATACCTTCCAGCATCTTGAGAAGTGCAGATATCTAATTCATCAGTGCATTCTATTTTCAAGCCCGTTTCAATTACATTATTAATTAAACATTTATCATCAGGACAGTTTCCATAGATATCCATACTACAATAACCATGCCCATTAGCAATCAACTCAACCGTTAACGTTTTAGCCAAGTGTGATACGCCCAAATGAACCATGAGCTACAGTTGATATATTATTTACTAAAATTATACCAATTACTAATTTTTTTTCATATTGTATAACTTACAGCAGGTTTATGTTGAGCCCAGAGTGCTGGCACAATATCATCAACATCTTTGTAAGACACAGGAATATTGATTGTGACCAAATTTATATTTAATTCATCACTGATGCCAGTTTCAGATAATATTCGAGCAACCTCCCAACTTGCATTCACTTTATAGTCACGAAAAAGTCCAAAACCAGTGACAACTACTGTTTTTGAAGTCATAATTTATTAATTAACTTTAAAAAGCGATAATATTAATTATATTAAATTAGTAATTACAGTGAAACGTGAAACACGTTTTATACTTTATCGTTTTTATCTAACCAACAACAATATCAACAGCTGATATGGCCTGTTCTATTAGATTATTAAATTATTAATATAAATATGAATATTGTTGAATTAATAATAATATTATTATTTGATATTTTTTTCGTAGATAACATTGATAATATATTATCAATATTTTATTTAACTTGATAAGAAGTTGATAACTTTATTGATTAAAGGAGAATATAAATAAGAGTTCTTTCATTTCAAAAACAGTGACCTCGTCGTATTATTGAACAAGAGATCAATATAAACATAAGAACATTAAGAACCCCAAAAAACGTAGGTTATTTGTGGATATAAGATGATAAATTAAGTGGTAAAACTCACGCTTGATGTTATTTTTTTAGAATTTTCGACAGTGTTGTCGCGAGTTTATTCTTACACCTAATGAAATCAGAAATTATGGGTACCTTTATCGAAAAACTCTAAGAAATTAGATATTCTATAAACACATTATTGGTACTGGTCACTAGATATACCATATACAGGATAACCAAATGTAAACATTTTGAAAAGCTTTTTTTTAGGTACACCAAATTCATCAAAAAGTAAACAATAAAAAGAGTTTAGTTTTAAATCTGTGTCAATAGTGTTGTTATAACAGAAAATTAAGTATTACTCAGGTGTTTTATAATTTTTAATAGTTAATAGATATTTTAATAATATTATATAGAATCCAATTTTAGAAATTTTTATGATAAAGCGACACATTTTTTTTAAAAATAATTGTTTCTTTTATATGTTTGTAAATATGAATTGCTAATACGTTGTAATTTATATTTATAATTATATAATTGAGGAATTATTAGAATAGATTAATGAAGGCGACAAATATATATATATACGGTACGTATAAATCATATTTATATAATTATAGGTACAAAGCAATACCATACAAATAAATGTGAATGAACCGATACGTAACCCGTTTACACTACTACATATATATGTTCCTTTAAACCTACATAACTTATGAATATATACATGCATGACGTATAAGTAGTCATATAAACTTATATAATATATAATATCTATAAAGAAATACATCATATATTATAAAAGTGCTGTCATGACTTTGTGAAATAAAGTTCTTCGGTATTATTTAGGAAATCTTCATTTCGTTTTCATAACTAATATAGTATTTGAAATACTTTTAGTTAAATTCGGAATTTTTAATATTATGAAAATGTCTTGTTTTGTAAGGTGAATGAAATAAATAGACCTCATCACTGCAGACTACTGCTGTCACACTGCAGGTATACCTGCTTAACACTTATTGTTAAATATGCATATGTCTATATTATCTTTTACTTAGCAGATTTATTAATAATCTATGTTAATATTTTAGTGCCTATAAGATATTATAAATCATATAAAAAGTATGTTTTTAAATAATTTTTTTGAAAATTATTATTTTCACAATTTAAAAAATGTATGAACAGTATTCAATGAATTTACAAATAATTTTCGTTGTTAGAAATTGCAATTCAAATAATTAATACACATCAACAACGTTTAATAAGTGACTAATTAATTTTATTGAAACGAAGTACGTTGTAGGCACTTTATCCTCACTAGTCACTAGTAAGTGTAATGTTGTCGCGATCCATTGTACCAAAATTACGAGGGAAAAGTCCTAATCAACATCAACATTAACTGTATCTTAATAAGCCCTTTTAAATTAATTGTTAGAGACAACCGGATGTAATTGATAATAGGATAATTTTACCATAAAAAATATAAATAATAACTTGAATGTATGCTGTCATAATCAAAATATCTGTAAGCATTAGTTGGATAATGTAATATACATTATACAATAATACATTCAAATACATAAATACCTGGATATTACTTAAAATATCCAATATGTAATTATTTTACTTATTATATTAACATTTAAAATATAATTTTGTAATAATTAGTCAAATCTTGTGATTTATGACTTGGAAACAAAGTACAAACTCTAACTGATATCAAAATATAATGGATATCGAAAATAAACAATGCCATTCAATCTTTATAGGTCGTAATCTGTATAAATGCATAATACCTATCGAAAGTGATCGATCTAAATGTCTATTATTCCACTATTAGTTTTTCTTTTATTATACAGCCATGTTCTAAAGGGAAACTATTTAGCTAGGTGTCGGATTATTAGAGTCTATAATGAAGTGTGTCAATTATTGGGTGTATATGTTTTCATTTCACTGAGTAATTTATTAATATGTATACCTAACGACTTACTATAGTATCCATCAGACGTCACGTCTTGTTAATCGAGATACAAATATACATAATCAATATTCTATGTTTATTCGATCAAACGTGTAACGTTTCAAATTCGAATAGTTTTTTTCGTAACATTCATGAAATATGGTATTTCTAGTAAACTACAACTAGTTCAGTAAACGACTACGTATCAATTAACTAGTCTATATTATAAAAGAAAATTTCGAAAACTTAATTGCATGCACTTGAACATAAAATAGTCTTTTAAAATAAACGTTTCTCCTTTAAAATAAAATATAATTCTGAACTGTGGAACGAAAATAATTTTTAGACCCTAAGCCGAAGTAATTAATTTATATTAGTTTTACAATAATGTATTTTTTCTGACCTATCACATTTTTGGTTAGTAAAAATGCTTAGATTTTTAAATTAAATGTGGTTTTTTGAATCCATTCTACTTTCCAAAATAACAAGGAAAAAGTTAAGGAATTTTCATTCAAAACTGGTAATTGATAATATCGATTTTGTTTTTTGTCGCAGTTCAAAAACAAATAGCCATAGATTTTCATTAAATTTTTTTTATAAGTTTATTATATTATTATTTATATTTGTATTTTCTACTCATAATACAAATTTTAAAATATTTTGACTTTTTTTGAGTATGGACATATGGTATTTTAATTTTCTTTTCTCTACCAAAAAAAAAAAAAAAAAACAAATAAAATTACAGTCAAAATATTATTTTTTTTATAAGCATTTATATTTAAAATCTTTATAAAATTCATCAAAATCGTTAAATTTTTTAGTTTTTTGTAGTTAAAAATATACGTACATTATAGGCATGCATTTTTATGAAAGTCATTAATTTTTATTGCTTTTTTTTCAAACTTATTAATTTTATTCTGGCGTATAAAAGTTTTAGAATTTATGAGCTCATGTCATAAAATAAAATGCTATATAAAAAAATAATAGAACTATATATAATCTTATAATAATGAAAACGTAAATAATATTTCAAATTTCAATATTAAATGCATTTCAATACATGCTTTAAAAATTTTTTGATGTAGTAATTATAAATTACGTTCAATTTAAAACAATTATACGTGTTACATTAATTCATAAATTGTGATTATAAATATCAGTACATTTCAATAACAGTTATTATTAGCTGTATGCATGTATTACAAGTTTTGATTAAAAATTCGAATATTCATTATAATGTAAAATTATACCAAAGTTGGGATTGCATGTGAAATACAAATACTAATGTGTTTAGTAAAACGATTTAGTATGATTCGTCGATTCGTGTAATATTTTCAAAATAAAGGTTATACAATATACATGAAAATAAAATAATTTTTAGTTCTTACTCTAGATATATTTTTAAATTATATATTAAATTACTAATTTATTAGCTAAAGATAGCTTGCTCTATAAGTTCATTTATGAAAATTGGGGTAGTTTTTTCTTGAAGATTGTTGAAAATTGTCGAGAAGAATGATTTAGACTTTAAATTTATAAAGTCAGTTGACTCACTTCGTGTTCATGAATTTTTAGTCTAATTTCTAATTTTTTTTTTTTATAAACTTAAAAGTGGCATTTTTAGACAATTATTATTTATTATCAATAAATATTAGTAAGGTGCAAGTATAGAATGTAATGTGTATAGTACTATCAAAGTTTGTAAAATTTCAGACATTTTAAAACATGAATACCTATAAATAACACACCTAATTATTTAAATATATCTATTAAATAAATACATAATACAAAATATATAAATATATCAAATACCTGTTAGTTTTTGTTGTGTATACATTATGTAAAATAAAATAATTTACATTCTTTTTTAAGCCTATTAACTAGGAAATCGTTAACAAAAATACATTTTATGGCCAAAAATATCTCTATTTAGTCTGTCAACTTATAATAATTCATATTTTATGCTGCATCATAGGTACACATTACACGTAGTACACAATATGCATTATGCATTAGATCTTTATTGTACTGGATATTATTTATGCAATGCAATTGAGTTAGGAAGTCATATACTTGGTTTTTCAATATTTAGTGTAGTTATATTTATTTTTTTGTTTTAACTTATAATGATGTACAACTAGAATGCAATAATATTATGTTTTATTGAACATTATTATAACATTTCGAGCTATTCTTACTGTATATCATTATTTATATTATTATAGGTTCTATATTTTATTTGGACTACAAAATTGAGCATATATATTTTTAAACCGAAATACAAATATTTAAAGAAAAATTATGAAAACAAATCTTAATAATTTTATTTGAGGCATACTGTTATTATACCTATTTATAATAACTAGAACCCGGAACTTGATGACCTAAAAATTTTTAAAAATGCACTCAAATAAGTATTAAAATGACTTATAAACATCAAAAAATGATCTTAAAATACCAAAAATAACATAACATTTAAAAAAATTACGTTTTTTATTAATACATTATCAAAAATCATCATTTTTTAATTTATATTTTTTAATCATTAATTTATTATTTTATTCATCATAGTTTAAATAATGTTAATATTATTATACATTGAATATGTTTTTTTTTTTTTACAAACGTAGGGCCTAAATTAAATCTAAAACGGAAATAAGAAATAATGTCAGTAAATCAAAATAATTACAAATAATAAATCGGTATTTTTAGAAAAATACTTGAAGAATTTATGGCTATACAATACGTTAATTTTTCAAATATTTAATTTTGTCAAAATAATAAAAAAAAAAAAATAGAAACAATGCATCAAAATAAATAAA